TGTTTGTTTGTTTGTTTGTTTGTTTGTTTGTTTGTTTGTTTGTTTGTTTGTTTGTTTGTTTGTTTGTTTGTTTGTTTGTTTGTTTGTTTGTTTGTACCATTTGTTGTTTATCATGATTATTAGTAAAATGGTAACTAGTCATATTTTTGTTCACTAGTGACGTTTTTTATCACTACTCATTTGCCACTCCACTCCAGCATTTTCATCAGGGGTGATCTAAAGTGAGATAGGTTGTGAATGCAATTCCACTTGGGTTTTGCATTCATATTTACTTAGAAAACAAAGTAAAAAGCGAAAATATTCAGACAGACATTAAACCTGGCTGCTGTGAACTCACCAACTTAAACTATAGTAATTACGTTTATAATTTGATTTTCATCAGATTCCGAATCCTTGATCAATCTCATTGATTCCCCAGGACACATTGACTTTTCCTCAGAGGTTTGTATTGTCTGGTTCAGTTTGTTCTTCAAAATAAAATGTAACTTGACATGGTTGCCCTGGTACCCCCATCAAGTCATCAACTTTGGAATGATCAAGCATTGCAGTTTCAATTCCGTTCACGTTATTTAGGTTTCAACAGCTGTTCGTTTATGTGATGGTACTTTGATCATTGTCGACGTTGTAGAAGGTGTTTGTCCACAGGTATAGTGCTCTATCACAGTACCAGTTAATTACTACTATGTATAAAAGCTAGTCACCTTGAAAAAACTATCTAGACAAAAATTTCATCACAGCTTGAAAGAGCATCACAAAATTAGTAATATTCCAAAGTTTCGTTTCGAAATGTTGTAAAATGCGGATAATATAGCCTTGCGAAGTTTGCTATTTTCAGTCATTTTAGATTACAAACGGGAAATTGATGCCCCAACACCCGATTGGGCTGTCAATTTCCCTTGCGTAATACAAAATGACTGAAAAACGGCAAATTTCGCAAGGCTATATTATCCACATTTTACAACATTTCGCAACGAAACTTTGGAATATTACTAATTTTCTGATGCTCTTTCAAGCTGTGATGAAATTTTTGTCTAGATCAAAATTTTTGTTATAAGGGGAAAGGTCCATTGCATTCTAGACTGCACACAGGCTACATTGCATCTCAATGCACCCTATAATATTATTTACCCTATCTAACACCAAACAATTTTACTTGTCAAGGGGAGAGCCCTGGCACTCGATGGATTAACCAGATTTTTTCTATTAATATTGTATTTTTTATTAATGGCAAACTACAGCGCATATTTTTAACACAGTTTTTTTTTCAAACGTTAAGTGTGCATGTATTTGCAAACGTTCTTAAATCGTCGATTTCATTATCTTTTAGACTCATGCAGTTCTGCGACAAGCGTGGTTAGAAGGGATCAAACCATGTTTGGTTCTCAATAAAATCGACCGTCTTATCACAGAACTTAAACAGTCCCCACTGGAAGCATTTATGCATTTACAGAAAATACTTGAACAGGTAACGATTTATATACTAATTCTGAAACTGAAGAAAGGGAAGATTCTTTTGAGTGACCTCTAACTCTGGAACTTCAGCGCAACTTCTGCATTTTGGTCTTATTGAATTATTTTTTATCAAGTATAGCATGCTATGCACAATAAAGGGTTCCAAAATTGCACGATTACGCGTTCTCGTTTGAACGAGGCTTATAATCCTTTATGGTATGCATCCTTATGCACCCTACTTTATTGTTTTACTCTTTCTTATGCCAGATGATTTTACACTGCCTCGAAAACCGACTCAAAAACGTTTGATGAAAAATCACTTCACAGTGACTCAAAATATCGACTATAATTACAGAACTCAAATTTATGTGCAAACTTACCCAATTTTTTTGAGTAAAGCAAGTCTTTACTCAACAATTTGGCCGATAAACTTGAAAGAGATGGATTTAATTTCAGGTAAACGCGGTGACTGGGACGTTATTCTCGACAGATGTATTAGAAAAGACAAGTTCACAACAAGCAGAATCCAAAGTCGTGAGTGATGAACAAGTATTTAATTGGAGTTCTGGTTTAGAAGAAGTTGATGATTCTGCTCTATATTTCTCTCCTGATCAAGGAAATGTCGTCTTCGCCTCTGCCGTTGACGGCTGGGGTTTCAGGTAAATATATAACAAACAGGTTAATATCCTGGTCATCTCATTCAATGAAATTAAAGTATCGAGGGGTTTTTTGTGAAGGATGGAAACTCGACTAAATTTTTATACGAGGTTAGGTCTGAAAAAATCACTCCTTCTTAGTACTATTTAAAACAGAAGTGTTTTATATATATATATATATATGTATATATGTATATATATATGTATATATATATGTATATATTTATAAATATCTGTTATTACTTATTAGAGAAGGGAGGTGCCTTGCATGGGACTTCTATATATAGCCTCGTTCGCACCTTCCCTTTTGGGCCAGTTGATATTGAACTAGTTATTTTAAATTAATTTATGGCACGTTGTTAAAGTTGTTAAATAAAATAAAATAAAATAAAATAAAAATCTTACATCTGATAAAGCACGGACTACGCGTGTTTTAATTGGCTTAAAAAACGACCCATAAGCCGAGAAAATTCAAAGCTAAAATTTATGTAAATGAACATGATGATTTTTTATCACATATAAAGCCACCGACAAGGTAGTGATTTCCTAGGTTTTATATATGTATGATATTTCTAGAGTGAATGATTTCGCTGAAATGTATTCAAAGAAGATTGGTGTACGTTCAGACGTTCTGATCAAAACACTATGGGGAGACTATTACCTACACACGAAGACCAAGAGAATTATGAAGGGCGCCCAAGCTAAGGCGAAAAAACCATTGTTCATACAGTTTATTTTGAACTATATTTGGGAAATATACGACGCTGTTTGCGTTCGAAGGTGAGAAAGCATTATGATATAAACTAAACGAACATTATTTAAATTGGTTACCTCTATTGGGTCCAGTGACTTCTATAACTCTATATATCTGGAGCAACAACTTTAATCATGCGGCCTACAAGAAAAGTGAAGCGGAAATTGACAAGCACAGTGTTTTTCTTACGTTTCTTTAGGGACAAAGAGCGTATTGAAAAGATAGTGCAATCATTAAACTTAAAGATTTCAGCTCGCGATTCACGACAAAACGAGAGTAAGGCTCATTTACAAGCAATATTTCATCAATGGTTGCCGTTATCCAAAGCTGTTCTTGAAATGGTTGTAGAGAAACTGCCCTCGCCGTTGGAAATAAGTTCTGAAAGAGTAGAAAAATTAATGTGCAGTGGATTAAGATCGTTTGAGTCTTTGCCTGATGAGACGAAGTCACTTAAACAAGGTATATATGGTATTATGTATTCAGGAATTGGTGTCTCTTTTAGGAGGAGGGAGGTGATGTTTTGACTTCTTAATTTATACCGGAGAGCTTTATCAGTTCTATTAAAGCTGTTCTCCGTGAGGGTCATCTTTTATTGATCCGGTTTTCTACAGGAGGAATTAACCTAAGCTAAACAAACTTTATTTATACCGGGTAACTTTATCAGTTCTATAAAGTCTTCTCCGCGTAGAGCCGAGGTCCACTGTGGGTCATCTTTTATTGATCCAGTTTTCTACAGGATTAACCTAAGCTAACAAAGTTAATTTATACTGGATAGCTCTGTTTTTCCTAGAGGACATTGATCCAGTGTTATTACAAGAGGAAACCTAAACTAACGTTATACTTTCCACTGGATAGCTCTATATCAGTTCTATAAACTGTTCTCCCTGGAAGTCCAGTAAGAGCCATCTCACATTGATCCAGTATTCATTGAGGAGGAAACCTAAACTAAACTTTATTTCATTTAGCGTTCTTAAAATGCAGTTCTGAAGATGGAGATCCAGTGATTATATTTGTCAGTAAAATGTTTGCAGTTGACGAGCAAGCCTTGCCACAAAACAGACGTAGGTATGGATGATTGGATGTTTATGTGGTTTTTTTTTGTATTTTCAATGCCGTTCAATGCTATATTATACGGGAAAGTCGGCCATCCCGGGCAGGTGAGATAAAGCCTTCATACAGTATATGGAAAAGTTTATATTCGTGTTTCCAGGCCATTGACACAAGAAGAACTGGCTCAAAGGCGGGAACGAGCAAGACAAAAACACACTGAAATGTTATCCGCAAGGAAAAAAGACGAAGTCGACTCTGCCACGACATCCACTGAACCAGAGGCCATCATTCAAAACACAAGTACAACCGTCGATGGTCAAGCAGAGATATCACAAACTGACGGTACCTCCGAGCTGTGCAATGATAATGCAAATCCCAGCGAACCCCCAGACCAGTTTCTTGCGTTTGCGAGAGTTTACAGTGGCGTGATTAAGAAGGGAGAGAAATTGTTTGTACTTGGACCAAAACATGAGCCTTGCACGGAGGATGTTGTAAACGTTGAGGACGTTAGTGAGCAGATGTATTCACAGTAAGTGACTATTGTCGTTATTGTATAAAAGACGTTGGTATTTAGTTCTCCGGCTTTTGACAGCACACTGGTTGTTAGGGCATGCATGTCTTTTACTTCTGGGACGAAAATTTATCTCCTGCACAACGGAGGTGTCTTAAGGGGGCAGCTTAGAATTTTCAAGAATGAATAAAGTTATAGTTACGTTTCGATTTCCTCCTGCAGTAACACTGGCATAACAATGGAAAACAGTTTAGAACTGATATCGTGTGTAAACATACTTTTATAAAGACTTCGAATGAGTTATCCAACAATCCAAACCAAGGCGCCAGTATAATAGCTGACTAGCTGTGGGCTGTTCCTCCCCAAGGCCTTTAGAGAAGGTTGACACTTTAGACGCTTTGAACAAAGAATCTTTGAGAGTTTATACAGAGTAAGTACATACAGAGGCCTCACTTCGGGTTAATTTAGCGATTTTTTAAGGACGCCATATTTTTAGCAAGTGTCCCAAAGAAAAGCCGTCACCCCCCTCAAAACATTTTGAAATTTAATGTTCCAGGGGGGGGTGTGAATGCCTCTCTTTAGCACACTTGCTAAGAACATGGCCGCCAGATATGCGCAGTAAAAACTACCTTACGTTTTCCCGCACAAGTGAGACCTCTGTATGTACTTACTCTGGGATATAGGTCAGTCTACAGTATACGTGTTCAATATTTTTCATCCTTAGGTCCAACATGTCAGTTTTGTCAGCGGCCCAGTCAATAGATCGTCGTGAGAGTGGACAACACATGGCTAGTTTCACTGTGAAAAACCTCTATCTGTTGATGGGACGGGAGTTGGAATCGTTGACCCGGGTCCCAGCTGGAAATGTCGTGGGTATCGGCGGCTTAGAAAATTACATCCTTAAATCCGCTACTATATCAAGTACCTTGGCTTGCCCACCGTTTACCGCTTTACCTTACGATGTGAGACCGATTGTTCGCGTGGCTGTGGAACCACTCCATCCGGGCAACATGTCAGCCTTACATCGCGGGATGTGCCTGCTTAATCAGGCTGACCCTATTGTCGAAGTTCTCGTGCAAGAAACAGGTATGCTTCATTGCATTGTCCAGCGTGGGCGGAAATGTGGCTAGGGTATTTGATCTTATAGTAATACTGGATCAATAAAGGCCTCCAAGGAGATCTGGTTAGAATGGATAGATCTATCCAGTATGAACAAAGTTAATTTAGTTTAGGTTTCCTCCTATAGTAACACTGGATCAATATGGGATGATCCTTACTGGACCTCTAGGGAGAATAGTTTAGAAATGATAGAGCTATCCAGTATAAATAAAGTTACTTTAGCCTAGGTTTCCTCTCGTAGTAACACTGGGTCAATAAGAGACGATCCTTACTGAACCTCTAGGAAGAACAATTTAGAACTGATAGAGCTATTCAGTGTAAATAAAATTAGTTAAGTAAAGTGCTTTTCCATCAAAGCAGATGACCAAGTAAGTGTTTTTTTTCTCAGGGGAACATGTTTTGGTTGGAACTGGTGAGGTTCACATTCAACGATGCATAGATGACTTGAAGAAACGTTACGCCAATGTGAAGTTGAAAGTATCCGATCCCATAATTCCATTCAGGGAAACAGTCGTGACCCCACCCACAGTTGACATGGTCAATGAAGTCATTCAGAACGAGCCTGGTAATGTTCAGGCTGGGAAAAATATTACTAAAGAAAACAGAGAGGTAGGAAACCGTTACAAATTCAAATTTTCAGCAATATGCAGTTGGCTGATTATCATTTCACTTCAGTTCCGTGTGAGAAGAGTGGTTCCAGTTTGACTCTAGCAAACACCACAGGTTTTCTCTGGGTATACTCTAATTCCAATAAGAGATGACTTTTGTTTGGACCTCTGGGAAGACCAGTTTAGAACTGATAGAGCTATCCAGTATAAATAAAGTTAGTTCAGTTTAGGTTTCCCTGTAGTAACACTGGATCAATAAGAGATGATCCTTGCTGAACCTCTAGGGAGAACAGTTTAGAACTGATAGAGCTATCCAGTGTAAATAAAGTTAGTTTAGTTTAGGTTTCCTCCTGTAGTAACACTGGATCAATAAGAGATGATCTTTACTGGACCTCTAGGAAGAACAGTTTAGAACTGATAGAACTATCCAGTATAAATAAAGTTAGTTTAGTGTAGGTTTCCTCCTGTTATTTTGTTTAACATTTGATGATGTCACTTACAGTTTATTCAAGGAGAGGCAAGTGACTCCAAACATGAAAACGATCAAACGGAATCTCAAAATATCGCTGACGTCAAAACTGGTTTATATCGCGCGCAGACTGGTAACAAACGATGCACGATCTTCATCCGGGCATGTCCGTTACCCGATGACGTCACCCGACTGCTGGATACTAGTCCCAGTCTCCTGAAAGATTTGCAATTTTTGCGGAAAACCGGAACGGGAAAAATTAAGGAAAGCGCTTTGGAAAAGTTGAAGGAATTTTATGAGAAATTGAGAAACGCATTTGAGGAGTCTGGGGAGGAATGGCAAGACGCTGCTGATAAGATTTGGGCATTTGGACCAAGACATGTTGGTCCTAATATCTTGTTGAATAGAATATCTGATTATCAGAGACCTTCAGTATGGAGGGATATAGGTAGGTTATATTTTGTCAAAATTTGTGATGAAGATGAGTGGAGGACTATATCTCAATGGGGTGCACGCGTCAAAATCTCACAGCTTGTATTTAGTTTAGTTGGACCTCTATGGAGAACAGTTTAGAACTGGTAGAGCTATCCAGTATAAATAAAGTTAGCTTAGTTTAGGTTTCCACTGGACTTCTAGGAAGAACAGTTGAGAACTGATAGAGCTATCCAGTATAAATAAAGTTAGTTTAGTTTAGGTTTCCTCCTATATAGTAACACGGGGTCAATAAGGGATGATCCTTACTGGACCTCTAGGGAAAACAGTTTAGAACTGATAGAGCTACCCAGTATAAATAAAGTTTAGTTTAGAATTAATATAACCTCGTTCTCACCTTTAGTAAAAGACGAAAGTCAATCACTTGCAGAAACATCTTACCGTGAATACGACAACAGTATAATCAATGGTTTTCAACTTGCTACCTCGGCTGGACCGTTGTGTGAAGAACCTCTGATGGGAGTCTGTTTTATTATCGAGAACATTATCATTGATTACAGTTCTCAAGGCGAGGGGGAAATGGTTAAACAAAAGGTAGAAAACGATGGAAATTTACATCTATATGGTAAAGGTGGTAAACTCACTTGCCCCACAGAAGAGCCTGAAGAAATCCAAAATCCAGGTAAGTCTATCAAGGCAGGTAGGATGAGAGTGGGGCTATCTCGCGCTGTACAATTTTATCCATATATGTCCTTAATCCCGCCGTATCAAACGCATGAGAGTTGGCAGTCACACGACCTTGGTGAGTTGTTCTTAATGCTTTCCAAGTAGCGACTTGTCGATTTCATCATGCTCTTTCCCAGAGAGAAAAATTTCATATGGTTATAACAGAATTAGAGAGTGCTCTTCGGACACAAACGTTGGTCAATTGAATCCCAACTCGAGTTGATATAAATTGTAAATTGATTTTTTCTGTGTAGGTGTAATGTACTCAGGTGAATATGATGCTTGTGATGTTACTCTGAGTGTATATCCACACCAGACAAGCTTGAAAAATATGCCTGGCCACGGTGGGAAGGCATATTTTTCAAGCTTGCTCGGTGTGGATATACACTCAGAGTAACATCACAAACATCAAATTGTAAACTATTTATAAACTGCTATGGGCACCGATTTGAAAGAACTGTTTTCAAAATAGAATTTCCGCTATCTTTTTCTGTTCATATTTTTTGTCTTTAATTTTCAAACAAACGTGCTTTCCAAGAATCTATTCTCGTAATTTTAAAGAGTTGCTCGCGGAAGAGAAGGAAAAAGACGTGAAAGCGTTGGATGACTTGAATGAAAAGTCTTGTGTGGTTTTAAAAAAGAAAGAAACTACAAGTGTTAATTCGCTTGGTAATGAGCAAGATTCTGCCCTGTCACAACGAAGCAACACCGTAGAAAAACAGGTAGAGGAAAATACAAAGAACTCAAGCCAAGAAACAAGCAAGCTTGTTTCACGTCAGACATTATTCAGTATTCTCTCAGGACAGATTATTTCTACCGTAAAGGACGGCTGCCGACAGGCATTCTTACTGCAGCCCGCGCGCCTGATGGCAGCTATGTACACCTGTAATATTCAAACGCCTGCAGATGTTTTGGGGAAAATGTACGGAGTCATAGCAAAACGTGAAGGCAAAGTTCTTGGCGAGGAAATGAAGGAGGGATCAGATGTATTTATAGTGAACGCAGTATTGCCTGTGGCAGAGAGTTTTGGGTTTACGGAGGAAATTAGGAAACGAACCAGTGGTCTGGCAAGACCTTTATTACAGTTTACTCATTGGGAGGTAAATATAGTCAATTTAACAAATATAAATATCATGATATGTTATATCAACACGAGTGGAAAATGGCTAAACGAGAAATTGTGTGGAAACACGACGCCCGGAGGGCGGAGTGTTTTCACACAATTTCTCGTTTTCCCAATTTCCACGAGTGACAATTCAGTGAGCTGAATAATAATGTAATGTAATGTAATGATTCCAGTCAAACTGTGATCTACTGGGCAGATTTTTGTATCCAAACGCCAGGCTTTAGGAATAAGCATGTTGATGTCCGTGTTATATCATTTTCAGGTAATAGATCTTGATCCTTACTGGGTTCCAACCACCGAGGAAGAATATCTTCATTTTGGAGAGAAAGCAGACTCTGAAAATCAAGCTAGGAAATACATGAACAGTGTTAGGAGAAGGAAAGGACTGTATGTTGATACTAAGACTGTAGAACATGCTGAGAAACAGAGGACATTGAAGAAATAAGAACAGTTTAGTCATTTTGGAGAGAAGACGGTCTCCAAGAATCAAGCAAGAAAATACATGAACAGTGACGAAGGAAAGAATTGATCTTTATATCGTTCTGGAAAACAGAGAACATTGAAGAAATAAGAACAATTTAGTAAAGAGTTGGAAGGAAAGGAGACGAAGGAAAGAATTGATCTTTATATCGTTCTGGAAAATAGAGGACATTGAAGAAATAAGAACAATTTAGGAAAGAGTTGGAAGGAAAGGAGACGAAGGAAAGAGTTGATCTTTGAAGGCCCATTTCCACTGAGGAAAATTTTCCGCGGAAAGAAAATTTTGTAAAATGTGATTGGCCGACACAAATTTTCCGTCGCCGGAAAAGAATGTTGAAGTTGAAAATTTTCAACTTTTAACAATGATATTTTCGGAAAATTTTCTGCCCGTGGAAATTTTTCTTGAGTGGAAATGGACCTTTCTGGAAAAAGTTCGTTCTGGAAGCAGAGAACATTGAAAAAGTGCTTAAGTAAATCTATCGATGAACTTTTGAAAAGAGAACCATTACGCGAACAGACGATATGATGAAAAACAAAGATGTTGCAGAGCCTCGGGTATATATAGGTGGCGGTACTTCAAGAATAAAGCAAAACAAAACAATGTCACAACAAGACAAGTGAAAGTGCATGTATAACAGGCTAAGACATGGCAAGATCTCTTTGAAATTTATTTTAAATACAAAACAAATTCGCAGAAATAAGTTAAATGGTGACAAACAGTTGTGTGAAGAAGAAAGGAATTGTATGTTCATGTACTGTAGAAAATGAGAACCAGAGAATACTTGTACAAATAAGTCTCCAGAACACTTAAAGTGAATGAAGCATAATTTGAGTTGATGATAAATATTTATTGGAAGCACATAACATGTTCAGACAATTTTAATTATATTCTAATATATAGATAAATCTATTTAACGTCAATCAACGACGGTTTAATGGTTTTGGTTGTTTTGAGTTAGTGCAAAATGGGTATCATTCCTGTTAAATATTGTTAGTGAGTGATTCTGTTTTCAGCTGTTATCGTTGTCAGTTGCCAAAATTCACTGTTATTTAAAATATGGGGAACATGATTATATGGTAGTCATGTGATCCTATATTTTACACTTCTTGCTCTGGTTATCCTTATCTGACAATTCTATACAATCTCCAATATATAGTATTAGTGACAATTAAATACATTAAAACCCTTATTGTCTCCTATAGTCACATCTTTACCACTCCTGCTCATCTTCATCCCCTTGGTCGTCGTCAAAAGACAGGTTGGTAAATTTATTCATTCGTTCCAGCGCCTTCTTGAGGAACTCCGCGCCGTCAGGTGATAGCTCCGCTGGTTTCTCTTGACTCACAACTCTACGTAGTTTGACATTCTGGATGGCGCGAGTCAACTCGTTGCCTGACGGAAATCCTTTCTGATTGTTGTTCACTGCAGGAGTTGTGTTATCTGAAGAAAAAATAAGTTCGATGAGAATGTGGGGATTGGTCAGGATTTTGGGCATCGTATACTAGGGAGGCTTGTATTCGGATGTTTACGGTATAAATACCACAAGACACACCTTGTTTTTTCAAGCGACATCGGGCAATTTTCAAAGCATCCAAATCCAAGGTCTGTTGAGACAGAGAACTTGCTTGACCCGCCGGAGACTTGTTTCTCCTCTGACCCGTGATCGCCACTGCCGAGAAACTCGGGGGAGGTAGTATTCCTGGGGGAGGAGGGGGTGGGGGAGGTGGTGGCGGACAAACTGCCCCAGGAGGTGGGGGAGGAGGTGGGGGACAGATAGTACCGGGAGGTTGGGGAGGAGCGTAAACTGCCCCCGGAGGTGAAGATGTGTTGTTGCTACCAATAGATCCGTTTTCTTTTGGGGATTCGTCTTTTCTTAGAACAGGTTTAGCAAGGGGAGTACTGGTGGCTGTGGTAGGTCGAGCACTCGCATTTGTATCCAGGTTGGGGGTATTTTTCATTTTCTCTTCCTGTTTGCGCACGGAGGGGGCTTGGTAACGAGGCGGTTTCACGTCTTTGGCTTTTGGGTTTTTCTATGAGAAAGTGGCATAATTCTGTTTTAGTTGTATTTTTTGAAAAACATTTTTCTTCCTGACAGCAAAGTTCAAAAATAAAATTTTTTTGTGTATACCAAATGTGAGACTTTCTGTAGCCTGCGAGCAGGCTCTCTGGGTAGCCTGCTCGCAGGCTAGACTTTCTGCGCAGCTAGGTTTCAGATAGAGTGCTATACTACTTCAATCAATCTCCACACGTGACAATTTGATTTCAAAAATACATTTGGAATTTTAAATCAACAAGCAAATTGTATGGCATTTCAATACAAAAATTTCCTGCTGGATGTAAAACAATTTCCTGCGAAGATATTTTATTAAAAATTTCCTGACAGCAGACGTTTTCCACCATTTTTCATGCCGCTTTATACGGCGAAATTTTAATGAGAAGATTTCCTCGCCTAACCTTCTTGTATTCTTTGAGTCTCAACAACGCTTTCTGTCGTTCTTCCAGTCTTACTTCCTTTTTCTTCTCGTCCTGTTCACGGCGCTTTTCAAGTTTCTACAGCGAGAATAAAAATCAACCTGGGTCAACCGAGTTTTATCAGTTCGACTCCACGACAACAAACATATAAATTGAGGCTACGTTTACATTGGTCATTGTCATTGTACTTGATAATGTAGCGCGTAGTTTTACCATGGATAATAAAATAAATATAATAATAATATAATATAATTTATTTTATTATCCATGGTTTTACGTAGGACGTCACAAAACACCTATCCATACCTTTTTGGAACGCTATTTTCGGACAAAATTTGTTTAGAAAAAAATATTGTTACATTTACCATTTGCACCGCGTGGTGCGTGACATATTGTTCTTGTTTTTCTTTGCCCTGTCTTGTAAGTTTTTTTATTTCTCCTTCACATATTTTCTAAAATATATATCACAAGTTAACGAACCTTTATTTAATCTATATTCACACTTTCTGCATATACAAATGACGATTGAACAGTTGAATAATACTATGTCTATGATATTCTAAAACTTTACCGTTTTGTTTCGTAAAATGGCTTTTTTCCTTGAAATCGTAGTCAAACTTTTATTTAAATTCCCTTTTAATCTTTCCAATTCTTCGCCTGTCACTTCGCTTGCCATCTTTTGTAAATCAAGGCGAACCAGCTTTTCGTTTTTGTCCTGAATATCAAAGCTTGTGGCAAGGATCTCGCATTGTTTCTCGTAAACTTGGACTTCTTTCTCGTTCAGTCTCTGAGGCATGGTGAGGTCTTCATCCAGAGCCAGGGCGTCACGTCGTATCTTGTCTCGTTCCAGTATTTTTAGTTGGTTCGTACAGTTCAACATTTCTATCTCGTTTTGAAAAGATTTTTTCTCGAGTTGATATAGTTTTGTCGCAACTGTGAATAGGAAATAGAAAAATACCATGAATTACCAGATTACCATACCATACCATACCATACCTTACTATACCATACCAGTACCACAGAATACTACTACACAGAAGGCCATCTCCATTGTTTTTTGCATAAGCGCTATTCGTCATGATTCGTCACTCGGCAGGTACCCTAAAAAGAAGTACCGTAGTCACCCCCTGGAAATATCCAAAATGGTGCTATGTGGGAGAAAGTCATGGATATTTCCAGGGGGTGACTACTTCTGTTTAGGGTACTTGCCGAGTGACCACAGAATGGAGTGACGAATCATGAAGAAGGTACTGGCACAGAATACTACACAGAAGCCATACCATATCATAACATCATATGCCATACACTATATCATACCATATTTATTACAGTAACATATATTGAGGTATGCAAAGAGAAATTCAAAGTAAAAGTTGACATAACTTATCCCTAGGGCATGAAGACAATGACACGGTACTGATTCCCTTTTATTGATGATAAAAATCTCATGAATTATTGATGATAAAAATCTCACTAAACATTTTTTCAACTAACCAGTCCTATTTTTATTGTCATTTGTAAATTTTTCAGAATCATCTCGCAGTAGCTGGAACATTTGTTGCAACCGCGGTAGCGATATTTTAAAATGCGCGATTCGAAATTCATTTATCTTCTTCACTGATTCAATATACTGGTCTTCCCATTGGCTAAAATTCTGAGCATTATCCTGGAATGTTGAGGCGGTCATCGACTGTTGGTTGAACATTGAGGCACACTCAGAACGTTCGCGCTGAGCTATATCTCTGCAAAATAAAATATTAATATTATGTTATTTCAGCTGTTTGGAATTAAGGACAAAAATTTAGGTACAGCTAACTATCCAAGCTTAAACGTGGGGTGGAGGGGAGTATGTGAGAGGGAGCAGCACCTTGGGGAGTGGGGTAACTAATGTATGGAGAGGAGTAACTTGAGACAGTGACGTGCTCCCTAAACTGAGAAAGGGTGCATCAACTTGGGAGGGAGTTTAAGGGGTGGGGAGCGGGGGGACTTGAGAGCTCCCCAAGGGAAAGAGTGATGATTTAAGAGGGGAGTATTCCTAGGGTGGGTAGCTAGAGGGCACCTTAAGAGAAGAGAGTTATAACCTGACTGACAGGGGGACAATGAAAGATATTAAGTGGAAGGCAACAATTTGAGAGTGGGGCCATAACTGAAGAAGGCGGGTTTCAAGATGGGAGGGGGGCACTCAAGCTAAAGAAGGAGCAGTTTTGGGGTTGAGGGGTGGCTCCAACAGAGTGTGCAGGGATTCACAAAGTGGAGCTCCAACGTATATGAGGGGGGCACAAATTGAGAAGATCCTTGTTCAATTTCGACCCTGCTACCGCCATACTCTCTTTCCTCTCCAGTCGTCTTGGCTACAGCCACAACTTAACACTACCCACTACCAACCTCAATTCCTCATACGGCTCGCAGTCAAATGCCAAAAGTTTCCCCTCGGCGTCAGTGACTTTGGCCAAACAATCCCACAATGCATCATACCACTCAGACAACTGATCTGTGTTGCTTGCTTTTCTTTTCCCCACCAAATGTTGTTGAAATTCCTGCAGCAATTGCTCGATCCCCTTCACAAAATGCTGTCGTTGGAGTTCGAGTGATGAGATAGTGTAGTCATCGTCATACACTGGTTCTCCAAAAAATACACTTGAGAATAATTTCCAGCCACACATATTAAATGCGTCTTTGAAATATTCTTCCATTTTCTTGCAAAGCTCCGGCGGTACATATGCCATTTGAATATAACCCCAAATACCTAGTATATATGAAAATATGTTTCAGA